CATCGCCATAACTGTCCATTCAAATAATCCAAACGGCGTCTTGACTGCGGTTAAAGGGATGTCTTCTTCTCGCATCCTTGTTTGAAAGAAGGAGTTAATCTGGTCAATGATTGAGAAGATGCTACCTGTACTGACTAGCCGGACTGCCTCGTCCACATTTGGCAAGGGACTTCTGTCCTTGACGGTGTATTTGTTTAGTTTCCTGTAGTCGCACACCCAGCGTGGTAAGGCGTTCGGGTCCTTTTTGGGAATTATCATGGACGGCGAGGCGTATTGGCTTGTTGACTTTCGGATTCGACCTGCTTTCAGATGCTGATCAATGAGTTTTTTCCACGCAGGGAGGTACTTCTGCGGGTAGTTGTACTGCTTTTCGTTGATCACAACATTTGGATCTGTGAGTACAATGCGGTGTCTGACTTTTGACGCCACATTCTGCCCTTCAGGCGGAATGAAGTCATCTGGTTCATCATCCTCGACTGCTGGTAATTCATCTGGGAACAGTTCTGCGAATTCATTCAAGACTCTCTCTTCTCTCGCCGTCAGGTCACGTTTTTCTTTCACTCGTTCCAGGTTTTGCATGACACATGATACCATTGACTTTGTCATGACAGACGTAATTTCATTTTTCACAGATTGTTCAATAAGTATCGTCTTAGTAGGTACATGGATGACTGTGCGGTTCCTGAGTGATACATCTAAATGAAACTTTTCCAAGAAGGGTGTACCCAAGATGACATCGTATGTTGAACCCAATGGTGCGATTTTGAAAAAGGTGGAGCCAAAGCGCAACTTCGGATCTGCCGAGCTGACATTAGCAAAGCAGAATTCCTTGATCACGTGTGGAGCAGCGGTCGTCGAAATGGCCAAACTCACCTCTACAGGTGTCACAAGCGGTCTACGCGGGATTCTCGCCTTGTTCGCTGTTGCCTCCGACATTAGATTGGTCTCGGCTGCAGAGTCAATTAATGCACGTAAAGGAGTGCCGTTAATTAGTAACTCCAAAATGATTGATTTTGTGCGAGTTTTGTTTTCAACGCACCCTGCTGCCTCCTCTTCTTTCATGTGAGCCACCAGAATACGGTCCGCCTCCTCATATCTTTCTAATTCACTTTCAAACATCTCTGGAGCCTCGCTGAACGATCGACCTTGACTTATTGCTCTAACCGGGATTGGTTGTGTTGCTTGCGCTGGTCTTCCCGCAGGTCTCTGAGTAGGAGCGCCTGCTGGTGCGACAGGTCTGGACGGCGTGTTTGTTGGCGGGTTTGAGCGACGCTGTGGTCTAGGTCCGGGGTCGAAAACACTGAGGGGCGGAAGACTGATGTAGGGTCCTTTGATTGGTCCTTGGCAATGCGGATTGCCACATTTTGTTCTACATGCTGAGCAAATACCTAGGTGGCGGAGGTATTGGTGGAAATGCCACGCGTAGTCTGCGCGTTGCTCAGCGGTGCGACGGTCGTTCGTGCCGGAAGCGTTCATTGAGTTGGCTTGTCGCAAATTGGGTGGTTGGTATGCAGGTAAGCTTGGCTGGAGATTTCGTCTAGGAACCATGTGGCTGGAGTCAAGTAAAAGCCAGATGTCCGAAGCGCTCGCTACAAACTCGAGCCATTTAAAAGGTGTGACTTTCAAGAGACGTCGATCTGCGACCCATCGTTGGAAGACCTCTGGTGCGCCCCAGACAACATATTCAGCCAGATTTTTCAAGTTCAATGAGCTCTCTACTTCGATAAGTGTGTACAGATCTCGAGCACGGTTAGCGTAGGTCTTGAAATCTTCGCTTTGTTTCATCTTCAGTTGTCGAATAGATTTCTCCGCGTCGTCCAACCAGCCTGTCGGTAACGTTGCTATAGCCATTGAATGCATGACTTCGGACCAAGGTAGTCCTGCCAACTCATCCTCCGAACGTCGTAACCAATTACCTGCCCGAGGCTCCACCACGATTGACCCCAAGATGATCAGCCGCTCGCCGATGTCGTCTAGTTGCTTTAGTCGGAAGAATTGTTCGACTAGACGGCGCCAGTTGAACAAGGCTGCAGGGTCCTCGGCTGGTCCCGTGAACTTGGGGGCCTCTGACAGTTTGATGTCGCAGGCACGTACCAGTTTGTCGGAAGGGTCCGCTTCATGTCGATTTACAACAGGCTGGGATTCTTGTCGTAGTGCTGGTTGCATGGCCTGAGCGAAGGAGACTCGCCTTGCTGTGCCGGGACTCGTCGCGTTTTCGGCTTCACGCCATCCAGGGCTCGGCTCAAAGACGTAGGCTGATGGTGTCGATGAGGCCGGATGGGTTGACTGAAGTGGTGTGGTTGTCGTGGCGTGTTCCGGAATGGCTGGTAAGGTCGTTGATGTACCTTCCTTCGGCGGGATTCTGGGCCCCAGTGGTGTCGGGGTGCTTGGCGATTGTTGTTGCGACATGGTGCTACTGAAGCGTGCCGTGCCAGCAGATGATCGTTGAGCCGAAAGGAACTGAGACATCGACGCCTCGAGAGCATTGATGCGATCCCTATCAGATTGAAGGGCCGCGATCTCGACTTGGAGTCGTGCGATTGTGGCGTCTTTGTCCTCCTGGTCGAGTGACTCTAGTTGCTTGCCTTTGTTGTCTGCTGATGATCCGTCCATACTAGCGATAGGCGTGAACACAAAGCTACCAGGAGGGTGAGGTGTCTCGTGGGATAGCCTTGAGTTAAAAAATTGTCGGATGATTCTCTGGTCTTGAGTAATCGTTGCTTCAGCTGGGTCAGGCAGTCTTGCAGGTGTCGAGGTGGCGAATTGAGTCAAAGTTGAGCTGGCTTGTAACGTATAGTTACTATCAGGCGTTTCTGGAGGGGCTTCTAGCTTATAGTTATATCTCGGTGGGATGGGTGGCTCTGGACTTTCGATTTGCGTCGTAGGTGGCTTTGGTCTCCGTAGAAAGGATTCCGGGTCACTAATGAAGTTCGAGGGTAGTTCGAATCCCATTAAGTGTCGCTTGTCAGCGCCGCAATGAAGTCTCGCACGGGTGTCTGGTGTCTGGGATAGTCAAGATAGTTCGGGTTGTCGATGAGAAAAAAAGGTTCTAAAAGTTGACTGATGTTTTTGTTTGATTTTCAAGGTTAATAAACGGGAATAGAATAAAAAAGTGTAAGACTCTCGAGAGGGAGTCTTCACTGGATAAGGCACAGGAGCAACACGGCTCGGAGGGTTATTCTAGAACCCGACTATAGATTTCCCAAAGACACAACTAGCTCCATCCGAAGAGTATTCGGTCAAGAAGAAACAATCAGAACATAGACTCTAACCAGAATGAAAAGAGATAACTAATATAGTGAAATGAGATAACTGATAAAGTGAAATGATATGCTCACCTAGCTCCATCCGAAGAGTATTCGGTGAAGAAGAGTCTTCTGGAGCTAGGGCAACGTGTCTAGTATATAATGCACCTGTCTACACCCATAATGTATGTATTCCGTCGCTATGTAACCCTTACAAGTACCCCAACAGACCAAATCCTCTCCGCTGTATTTGCAGCATCACTCTCAATAACAAGATTTGTTGTAGCTATCAAATCTTCAATTTCAGCTTGAGTATATATATTAAAATGGAAATCAAATTCCAGGACGGCCTTTGCCAGGTTTTTCACGACAAGAGCCTTGGATGATGTAACTGCCTTTTGAGCAATACCAGAGCAGACTTCCCAGCTGATAAAGTTCCTCTCCTTAGTTTTTCTTCCGCTCTTGAACATCGTTCCAATTTTCGTTTTCGCGGCCCTTAAAATTCCGCGATCTGCCTTCTGTTGCGCGGCTTGGGAATCTTTCAAAGGGTCTCTCAAAAGAAGAGTCGCGGGAGCTTCCTCGGGTGTTTTATCCAGTTTTTGGTAAGCCGTCCTCGTGGAGAATAATCCATCAATCAGATGACAGCCAAGCAAAGGGAGGAGCATCAAAATCACGTAAAATGAAAGGAAAGGACTGGGTAGCATCATTCTTTATCTGAAGCGTTGTAGTTTTGTGGTCTAAGTAGGAAAAGGGGTGGGCAAAAGACTCGATAGCGAACTTTATACTGATCCCTCGCAGGGCTCTTTTAACCTAATAAACTCGGTGCCCGAAGAGTGAAAGCCCCAAATTACGATGATCAAGTGTCGCGCTGGAGGGCTTAGTCGAGTTAGATGCGCCCGTGTCTGGTGTTCAGAAATCTCGTATTTCACTGTCTGTACTTGTCGTTTGAAACCCAATGAAATACATACTGATGTAAGCTTTTGTTTTTGCATGGACGCGATTTTTGGACCTCATGCACGGCCGGTTAAATTTGCACCGATGTAGATCTGGTATGGATAAATGATTCTCATCTGCTCAGCTGCATCTGCTACATACAGTAATTCTCTCCACCCCACTCATTTTCTCGTGTATGTGTTATGTTTCATCTTATCATCGTCGCCTTTATAGGTCCGTTCCTGCAGGTCATGGTTTTCGATTCCACGACAAAGCAGTTTTACTCACACCTGACACGCTTGGTCTTGTTCTCTAACAAGTTCTTCCCACATGACCATCCATGTTAAGATCAAATGCAATACGACTTGTACTCGCCCATGCGCTTAACTTCGAGTCATGTTTCATCTTATTTGATCACCTTCAGGTGTTGGTCTTCCAGTTTTGTTCTCTAGCACGTTTTTGCTACACGTTTATCTATCAAACAGATAGATTACATCATGACTTGAACTATTCACTCGGGCGCTCATCTTGACTCAATGTTTCATCTTACTGTCATCTCCCTCACTATCCGGTGTGTCCTTTCCGGTCCAGGACTCTGATTCAACGAGTACATAGTCTTATTCAAACATACCTCGGTCAATATTGATCTCTAGATAGCAAGTTTCTCCTATATGTTGATCTATTTTTTGAAACGTGTTATGACTTCAAATATTTACCCGAGCGCTCATCTTTACTTCACGTTTTATTTGATCGTATTCACCTTCAAGTTCAAGTGATTCTTTCTTGCCAATTCTAGATTTTGACCCCGTCAATCCCGGAACTCTAGAGGACTCTTGGAGATTGGAAACATTGGTTCACAGGTATATTGGACTCTTGGAATTTGAAATTATGAAGAACCTAAAGAAATCAATGGGAGGTCATATAAAAATCAAGGAGATATTGGAACTCGGACAAGAAAGAAAAAATGTAGAGCTTGACTCATTAGGGTTGAAGGTGTGAGAAAGATAAAAAGATAAGGAAATTGAACACGATATGCAACATGAGATAAAGCAGTGATCAAGATTAATGTCACAAGCGTCTTGCACCACCTAGTACATTTTCCCCAAATAATTGAATGCCCCATTCCATAATCATCAAGTTTTCCTCACTTCGCCTGTCCGCCCGGTGGCCACTTCGGTCCAATCACTAAGATAATCATCTTTTAGCATATAACCCTTATACAGTATCTGATCTTCAAGTCCTCGAAGATCTTGTGTGAAATCCTCGGGTTGACGCGCATAATTCCAAGCCCTCTTGTTAACAAATTGGAATATTTCTTGTCTAAGCATTTCAAAGGCCAAAGTCTGATAGGCGGGGCGCTTTTCTGTATTTTGCTTATAGGCAATGAGACGACGGTATAGCGTCCTGTCACCGATTTTGAAGGATATGAGGTGAAGGATGTATTCAACAAGCAGGGCTTCTGTCTCCGGGTCGTTGTGCTCAAATGCTTTGGATTCCGAAACTTTCTTGAAAATCGCATATAGCATACTAGTAAGGATACTTTGTTTGGACGCCCCAGCCAAATTTTGGGATCTTTCAGTAGTATCGCGCTCTGAAAGGACCTGTTTGGACACCAGAACCTCTGCGAGAGCATCTCTATACTTCATTGCTACACGATCTTCATCTTAAATGCAACAAAGTGGTTAGACGTGATTGGTATAACATCCTTCATTGACGATTTAAGTTGACTTACTTTCACTATATATCAGATACTCTGAAGAATCTTTGGAAAATAACTCTGGGTCCATCTGTCCATAACGACGCTGTATTAACATCTCAAAGAGCTTTGGCATAATTTCGGGGTAATTTTTAAGTTGGTAATGAAAGTACGTATATATCGCCCGGTTTCGATTGACTACAAAGTTGAGTGCTCTGAAATATCTTCCTAGTTGTGGACTTGATATCTGCTCGTGTTTTAAGCTTTCTAAAACTTTGATGATTTGCGGTCCATTGATAGGTATTGTGTTTTGGAATTCTGTTAAAAGGCTTCTTACGCCTGGAGGCAGTCTCTCTGCAAGTTGAAAACTGATGTCACTCGCAAGGATTTTTTCTTGGATGTCACGCGAATCGGTCGCTACTCGGAATCGTACATAGCTCTCATAATGGTATTCCTCAAGATGCAATAGCAATCGAACTGTGGTTGCCTGCTCATCGAAGCCATCCCTCTTTGGTATATTTGGGCGATTCAAATGATTTATAATCAGTTCCATCAACGATGAAGCTTTTCCAGAATCTATGGGAGTCTCCAAGTTGATGAAGGCGAGGTGGATTGTTTGAAATTCTGCTGATGGGCGATCGGTGGCCGTGCGAATCTGTTCTTGGATAAGATGCACAATTGATTCCCTTTGGATTGCCTCCTGAGTGACTGGGATGGACAAAAAATGATCAGGAACCGCATATACACATGCAAATAACGCTCTACACTCACCATATTCGGATGTCTCTAGTTTTGGAGGGAATTCTGACCACATTTCCTGAGCTGCTTTCCCCAAGTCCTTGTCTGATCAATAACATTCACATCCAAACACATCACGACATCAGTCATTGGGATATCATCGTATTCGAAGTTTGAAACACTGACCTTGCAGAAAGAAAAGCAGAAACTGTCCCCGAGGCCTACTCAAGTCCTTAGCAGTCCAGACATCAGGGATCGGAGCATGTAATGAATTTCTATACCCCTCCGATAGTTGAGATCTTAGGTATTCCAGTACCCCAACAGACCAGATCCTTTCCGCTGTATTTAGAGAATCGCTCTGGAGAGAAAGAGCGTGAAGATTGATTGCATATTTTACATCTTGGATTTTAACTCGAGCAGTATTTTGATACAGATCAAAACGAGGGCCTATGGCCCGGACAGCTGTGGCCATGTTTTGTACTTCAAGAGAGTTAGATGGTCCAGAAGCCTTTTGAGCAATACCATAGCAGACTTTCCAGCTGATCAAAGCTTTACTCTCAGGAGCCTTGGTTTGGGTTTGAGTCTTGAAAATACTTGTGAATGTTCCTTTGAGTCTCGTGATATCAAACATAGATTTGGAATTTTCTCGATATTGCTTCTGCTGTCCCACTTGGAGATCCGTAAAAGGTTCTATCAGAAGAAAATCATCAGGATCTTCTCCATGTATGTGATCAAGTTTCGTCAAAGTCGACTTTTCTAGGAGAGCTTTATCAATAAGGCGACAGCCGAGTAAAGGCAGGAGGATTAAAATCACATAAAATGAAAGGAAATGACTGCGTGCCATTATCCTTGTTTTGAGCGCTGTGGTTAGGTGATCTGATTAGGAAAACGGGTCGGGAAAAAGACTCGATCAACCAGCTAACTTTCTGTTTTTTCGGAGGGCTCTTTAACCTGGCAAGCCCGGTGCCCTATCAAAGAGTAGACGCCAGATCTTTTGAGGAACAAGTTTCAAACTCATAGGGTTATCAAATTAGATCAACCAGTGCCTTGCGCAGAATCTCGTATTTCATTGTCTCATCTAAGGAGATTATGATATGATATCCATACCAGATGGCGATGCTGAGCCTTTCTCAACCTTTGAAATGATAAGGCGACAGATGACTAATGATAATCGTTTGAAACCCAGCCAAAGCAGAAAGTACGGGTGCAGGTTTCAATGTTTCTGCATGGATTGGATTTTAGAACCTCATGAATAGCCACAGATTTGTTTTGATAAGCGATGTCCTCTGCTACTACATTACCGCTCATTTTCTTACGTCTGTTTCATCATGTTTTATTTCACTTTTATGACCTTTAGGTCCGTTGTTGCTAGTTGTGGTTTTCGACCCAATAGGCAGTTTTACTTTGTACCTCGATTTAGTCTTGTTAGTCTTCCCTACATCTATATCATGTCCAACTTTGAACTATCCACATATGCGCCCTATCTGTACCTTACGTTTCATCTCTTTGTGACCACCTTTAGCCGTGTCCTTGATGGTTGCAGATCTTGCACCATTAGGTAGTTTCACCAATACCCTCCGCTTACCACTATCCTTTCTGACTACCGAAGTGTCTTGACTAAATATCGAACATTCTGAACGATACGCTTCGCTAGCTGATATGAGACTAATCACTGAATCTATGATTCCGCTTTCTGCACTTGAACAACAGTATCCTCTCGCGGATCACATGAAACTGCCCATAGAAAGATTGATACGCCCCCATTTTTTTCCACTTCATACTCCAACACTTGCGTATAGATCAAAAGTAGAGACTTCTTGTGATGATATCGATCACTCGTGTTGCAAGATAAGATAAGAACCGGAAGTCGGGTCTTAAGGTGGCCCTTACGTCTTCTCATGTGGTTCGTGTATGAAAACATCCGTGTCAAACTCACGAGTCCCCGACCCCCTGGCACCGATGAGGCGCGCACGCTCAGGAGTCAGCTCGGTACAGTGACATCATAAGTTCACTCCTGTAATTCATCGTATGTATGAATAACGATTAACCTGAACTATGTGAATCCAAGTTGAACGAGCTATCGTAAATCAACGACGACAGTTCACCTTTGGCTCGTGGGACTTTGTTAAGTTTGTAGTTCACCTTCCTTTGCCTCAACTCGACAAACGTTTCAATCATCTAACTACAAGTATCTCAAATCACTTCAATAACATCCCAAACCTCTGTGTAAAGGCTAAAAGCAAGTTTCACGATACTTGATCAAGATGCCAGACTTGTAAGTCACTGTCTGATGAATGATACCTTTTCATTGAACTTCAATTTGATTCGATCCTTTTTGTTATCATCAAAAAAACCCATTTAGAAAAGTAGAAGGAGTTGAAAGTTCGGTGATTTTCGAAATGATAGCCACAGAATTCGAAAAAGTAAAGATTTCCACATCAAGCTTCATTTTAAGAGTTTCAAGGGATTAAGGATTTAAGGCTTACGATTTTTTTGGGGATATATCAGATGCCAGAAGCAGAAAAGAAGGCTCAAATGAAGAAAGTGAATGGTATATTTCAATTGAATGTCAAAGGTAGTTCTGGTAAAGAAGGACAATGGACGATTGACTTCAAAAAGGTGAGTAAGATCCAATTGAATCATTTATCGATGGATCATCAATACTATCACAATGAAGTAATCGAATCATCTTATGATTATCTCGAGTGGATCTATAATCGAATAGGAAGGAAAAGTCTACAAAGGACCAGCCAAGCCTAAGGCAGATGTGATTATCAATATGGAAGACAAGGTGTTCAAAGATCTCGCAGATGGTAAACTGAATGGACAAAAAGCTTTTATGAGGTCAAACCAATTTCATCACTCTTCCGAATCCCATGATAAATTCGAATTGGAATCTCACAGATCATCATCCGATTATAGTGGTAAACTCAAGGTGAAAGGCAACATGATGCTTGCTACAAAACTCGATGTACTTCTCAAAGGTGCTAAAGCGAAACTCTGAAGATCCAAAGGCTCAGAGTTGCTTAGGGTACCAAGCGGAACACGATTTAGTAATTCGTCAGTGCTTTAGATGGTCATGACAAAGATTTTTATACCTTTAGTTCACCATGAAACAATCATAATTATTTCAATTTATTAGGCGATATATGCTGCGATACAGATGATGTTGGCCCTATAAGACTTTTACATCACTATGTTCGAGACCTGTTCATCATTAGTCTTTTTGACATAAGTTTCTATTTTGCTTTTCTCTTTGTCTGAGTCAAGATATGAGGTGCTTGGGTTAGACAAGAATTTAATTCAAGTCAAAACATAACGTTAAGATGATGAGAAATTGATGATAAACCAAATGTCAATCAATGACTCCTATATATGACTACAGTGCCAGTGCGTAAAATTCGAATTTTCAGATACAATGCAGATCACACATTCAAGACTTCACCTTCAAGGAATTAACTGATCACATCTAGCAATTGTTACATTTAGTCACAAATGTCCAATGAGAGGGCTTTCATCAACTGTACATAGAATGTATGCTATGAGGATCAAGAAACCAAGTAGGGGAAAGTTATAGAAAAACAAAAAGGTTCAAATTGGCTTACTCAAGCATATTAAACATCTCAATCACTGGTTCATGGTCTTTTGATCAGAGAATTAGGGAGTAAACTTTTTTTCTCTTTTGGCAAGACCCACAATATGTTAAAAATAAAAACCAAGAATGAGATTTCTGAATCTAAGTATATGTTTTTTTTGACATCACATAAAGAATACCAAGATAAACTTGTTCAGATTTACAGGAATCTTTCAAAGAAATGTCTATATACCAATCAAAGATTCTACTGATCTTAAAATATATAGTCTGATACACTTCACTCACTATAAATACAAAATATTTTAAATAATATACAAAAACATGATGATTTTAATAAAGAAGTCTTAGAAAAAGTTTTCCAAAAAACCCAATTTCTTTCAATCATTAAAGCTTTACTTTGCTCCAGGGGTGGATTCGGAAGCAGAAGTTCTGAAAAAGATGATAAGTAAAACTTAAAGTTCTTATATATTACCAAGGAAAAACCAAAAAGCTGATTAACCTTTATCTACGTCATCAACTTTAATTTGATCAAATCACTTTCATCTTCAAGAAACTTCACAAGATTTCGGAACCCTCAAGGAGACTTTTACTTCTAAAAAGTATAGCATGACCCCAGGTATGTTTGTTCCTATAAAGGGGTAATGATCTAGAATTATGACTTTTGAGCTCCTGCAGCTGCAGAGGTACAATACATGGAATTATGACATTGCTCACACAATTTCTGCCGGTTTCTCCCCATTTTGGAGTTGATGAAAGGTTTGATACAGCTGATTGGAATGATTAAACTTGTTTTACAGGTAAAGCCAGGGACAAGTTTCCAAGGAAGCTCAAAAGTCGCATTTTCACCCTTTATAGGGGAATACCAGGGTCCTTATGTAGCCCATAACCAATATCTAAAAGCTAAATATCTCTGTTCCTCTAATTGATTTTTAAGAAACTTTCAGAATTCAATCATTTCATCAATCTCTTCATCTCAAAAAAAACAATCATCAATCCAATCAGAAAAAAAAAACAATACAATCAAAGAAATTTGTAAACTAAAACATTTCACAACAAAGAACAACCGTATTACAATTTATAATGTATAAAGAAGAAGAAGAAGAAGAAATCAACAATCACATTACAAACAACAAAAGAATCCATTACAAAAGATAAAAATGATTGAAAATTTCCTTAATCACTACAAAATTGTCCAAAGAAAGAAGAAGCAAAAAAAAAGAAAATGAATGCTAAAAGAAAAGAAGAAGAAAATGTAAGAATCACAACAACAATTATTTATTTATCCATCCATGTATAGTACTATTAAGATCTCAATGAACAAAAAAAAACATACATATTTTCCAGAAAAAAAAAAGACAAAGAATTATACATAAATATATCTATCTATATATATGTGTGTGTATGTGTGTTTTTGCAGTTCCATCTTTCTTTAATACTTAATCACATCCATCATAAAAAAAGAAAAGCAGGGGGTGAGGACAAAGTTATTACAAGGTTTCCAAGCAAAATGAAATGAGAAAAAAAAATGATCAAAAGAAGGTTGAGAGAAATGGAAAAGATATCATATATGTCAATTGAGATGAGAAGAGAGAAGAGAGAAAAGAATAGGGAAAAAATAGTCAATGTTTTTTTTGTCGAAAAAAAAATGTTAGCTTTTCTACTTCATTCAATCAGTCTATTTATATTTGCAATTTTGTTGTCGTCTTCTTTGTTTTCTAATAAATCCTAACGAGTCCTTTCTACTTGAATATACCACTTCATGAAGTCTCAATGATATAAAAAATGCTTTCCTTCCTTCCTTGGAATATAAAGTCCTTTTATCTTATACAGCTGCATAAGTCGAATTAGGATATCCACTTTCAGATGTAACTTGTTGAAGTGATTGAAGCGAATAAAATCCTTCTGGTTCTTGTAATAAATTCGAGGTACTTGATCCTTGTTGTTCTTCTCTAATTCCTGTGTTTGTATTGTTCATCATCTTCTTGGCTTTCTTCTTATCTAAACTTTCACCCTTTTTGGCTCCACTATTTGCATTTGTGGTTCGTGATAACTTTGACTTTCGAGCTTGAGCTCTCGAAAATCTTAGACCTGTCAATAATCAAAAAACATCAAATCAATCAAGCTATTCATTTAATATGAGAAATGTCCACGAAAGAAAAAGATCTTGACTAACCACACGCATTACACAAGCTCTTCACACCATTGGGTCCTTTACGCCATTCCGGACTGTTTTGGGCCCCACAACTCGAACAAGATCTTGGCACTTGGGAACTTTGTCCATCAGTCGCAATATTATGATTCAACATAGCTGCCGGTGCAGGTGAAGACTGAATATTCACCCGTACTCGAGGCTGTTTAGGAGGTGGTGGTGGTAGCGTCGGTTGAACAGGAGAAGTGAGAACCACCGGGTTGTTCGCATGATTAAAGTTCAAACCATCACCAACATAATTCTGACCAATACCCAATAAGTTATGCGCAGCCAAATCTACTGATGCTGAGTGGCCGTGAGCTCGTCTTCGCATGTCATAGGTCGGAGTTGTGGGAGAAATGGCCATCGCAACCGCAGCCGCAAAAGATTCCCCCGGCCGCGGAGAAGAAGAGGCGGAGGCGGCCGAGAAATCAGAGGCAGCTCGATGATGACCATAATTACCAGCAGCCATATTGGCAAGTCCTTGGATGCTGAAACTGGTATCAAACGGAGAAAGTGGATGTGTTTCAAGTGACGGGCCAGATGTGGTCGACCGATGCAAATCCTGAAACGCCAACATCGATTGCGGATGATGATAATGAGCCCGATGAAAGGATCCCAAGACATCAGCAGCAGAGGCCATGGTGGGTGATAGCTCTCCAGAGAAGTGGGTGTACTGCGAGGATCCGTATGGGTCAGGTGAGTCGGGTATGGTGGGTAAATTCGGGACCATTGGGGAAATTTGGCCCGATCCTGTATGATGAGGATGGCCATAGGTGTAAGGTGACTGCTGAGCAGAACGTGGATGAGAAGTGTAATGGCCGGCCTGATGGTGACTTTGTGCGCTCGTGGCACTTTGAGGGGTCATGACCTCAGAGTAAGAATCCGTGCGAGGCCGTTTGGGTGCACGATGATGAACAGTGCTGGGATGTGCAGAGTGAATGTCGAGGGAGACCGGTTGTAGTGAATCATGAATGAGTTTTATAGGCGGTGGTTTGTTCGGGGGCATAACAGGTGAACGAGCAGGTGGTAAAGATGCTGATTGGATGTTAGGAGATCCAGAACGAAATGAAGCAAAAGTTATGGAACCATAATTGATGACAAAAGACTGGGTCAGAGGAACGACAGAGCCGTCTTTCACGCTACATCATAAGTGGGGAAAATGGCGGGGATCGAAACATGAAGGAAATACATTTGTCAGTTTAAATTTAACCTTACATATTTTAACTCGCAGGCACGTTTCTCCAATACTTACAAACTGCGTTGGGTTTGGTACTTGGTTGAGCAAGTGGTTTTAGCAGGCTCATCAGTCTCGCTTGGTTTCTTGGCATTTATAGCTAAACAAGCGTAATCTTCTGGTCGATATAACCCAGACCATCCGTCTGAAGGCGAGACAGAAGGCGGAGGATAAGAGAAGAGGACAGCACCGGTACCAGAGTCCAAGATTTGAAAAACATCCAAAGGATTCTGAGGTTGATTGAAAAATGATCCATCCGTGGATGTCATGGTCTTGCCTTGGATCTGTGAAGACGACTGAGCCATGGCAGAGTCCAGCTTACGAGATTCCTCAGGAGGGAAATAGAACGATCCAGGATTAGGTTCGATGACACCGCATGAAGAATGGGAACGGGGAGGAGGCCAAGAAGGTAAAGAAGCATGCTCGATGTGTTGCGATTGAGTGGTCATTTCTCTGGTATCTGAAAAGATCATCGAGGTCATTGGAAATCAAAATCAAAAAGGTGTTCAGAGAAAGAACTGACCTTTGCCATGAAAGAAGCACAATAAATGGGTATCCCCAATTGGGTTAAGAAAAATTTGAAAAGCTGTGTGATTCTCATCACCGTCCTAAGAGTATAAATTCAAGCATGAAGGTGAAACGCAACAGATTGTAATATGGAGATCGACAATGGTCAGCTGAGACCGGAAGGAAGTTAGACTAGAGTGTATGCGCCAACCTCCTTGCCAAAATACCCTTCTTCACGTTTCAATAAACGGCGGAGATGATTGGGACGGGCGAATCGACAACTGCGTTGGGGACGGGGGACAAGGCGAGGTTGGCGGTATATCACATTGAGCAAAGCATTTCGAATGACCAAGTTTGATTGAGAGAAAGGTTAAATCAGGTTAGTCAGTGAACCATCGCTTGTGTACATGTCTCTGTCACTCGTTTGAGGGTTGTGAAATACAGTTGGGGCAGTGCATATATTCTACTTTGCGCAGATTAAGTTTTGACAGTGTGGCTGTACGCAATTCAGATTACACGATCGGCTGATGTCATCGCTAAAGCTTCGGAGAATTGACCAAAACTTAAACCCACATCAGAAGATTGGAGAAAGATCGGGGACATCATGATAAGAAGAGTGACCAAGTAAAGAGTCAAACTAGATTTGAAGAAATTGACTTGAGAGAGATACCATCGACAGATCTAACTTGCAAGGATTACCGAGCAACGGGATAGAGAGAGCGTTATATCAAGAAAATCAAACTAACCTTTCAATAACTCGATGTTGATTGAGTGGCTTAGGATCACAAGAAGGCAGAGTTGGACTAGATTGCATCATTCTAGGATTCTGTGGTCTCAATTGACTTGATTCATATCCTAAACGCTCATAGTCGAGTTCTGGCATGACTCCATCGAGATCGGCAGGATGGATGTAGTTATAGATAGAAGTTGACAAGATTTGATCGCTATGGCCTTCGAGCTCACGTTGCAATTTGGGGTCCACATATATAAACCTGTGTGATTGATTGATCGTAAGGGTTGAGTTTGTATTGGGAGAGAGAAAAGATGTGATCGAGACATCAGTCAGCAATGGATTCGAGGAATGAGATCAAACTCTCTCAGAAGATTGAACCCTTTCTGAAGGTTTTCCATTTGATGACTTACTTCAGCTCACGATCCAAGATTGCCCAAAAACAATCAAGCTGAGAATTGAGTTGATTTGGGGTAGGTGGATTGACATAGATACTAGAGCTAGGTTTGACACTTCCAGATGGCATGAACGGACGAGAAGCTTCATCATGATGATCGATCGAAGCTTGAGGTGGAGGAGCTGATGGATGACAAAAGTCAAAATTGGATGTAGAAGAAAGATGAGAATTTCTAGGATGTGACCAGTTTGAATTAAGATGAAATTGATGATCTTCTTGATCTTGATTAGATGACGATGATCCAAGCTGAGCAGTAGGACTAGTCGCTCTGATATCACTGGTAGGTGTTTCAAGTGATCGAGTGGATGAAACAAGTGCATAAGCTGAAGTAGGTGGTAGAGGAGATCCCGAATTGAGATATCGAGAAGGAGTAGTAGAGCGAGGTTGAGTTTTGGTAGAATTGGATGAATTGGATGAAAGTTGAGTAGTAGCTGATAACAATGATGATGGTTGATGTGTTGTAGATTGAGTGATCAGATTTGGAAGAAAGGAGGAAGAATAATGTGATGAATGAGAAGAAGAAGAGGAAGGATCGACCATGACTAAAAAAGGTTTAAGAGAGAGAGAGAGAGAGAGGTGAAGAGAGTTAATGACAGGTAGAGAGAAGAAGAAGAAGAATTGAGAAAGTGAAGTGAAACTGAGGGAAGTGGATTGAGTGTGATAGTTTAATAGCTATACAGTTCAAATTAATGATTGATCTTGGTGATTAAGTGGAGTTCGGAGTTTGATTCAAAAAGTGATATCGAACGAGGGAAATGTGGAGAAGGTTCAAATAAAGATTAGGATTGCTTTCAAAGATAATGATAGATCGAGAATTTGGTTTGACTCTTTTGTTGGTTTTGACGATGATGATGATGATGTTGTTGAAGTGTTCTTTGATGAATGTTTGAATGATGATGATGTTGTTTGGTTTGATGATTGATGATTGATGAGATGACAGGTTCTGATGGGATTGAGTTTAGAAGAAAAGTGATGGTGAGAATTCAAATTAAAGGAATGGATAATCGAAAGGAGATTGAATGGTGAATCAAATTAGGATAGAGAGAGAGAGAGAAGAGAGAAAGAGAGAAAGAGAGAAAGCGTCAAAGTGGGTAAGAGTAAGAGTAAGAGTAAGTAGTGTGTGTGTAGGTTTAGAGCTGAATTCAGAGTCCAAGGGTTTACCAATCTGTTTCTCGCTGTCTCTGTCTTTCTCTCTCTCTCTGTCTATCTACAAGGAGAGGCAGGAGGAAATAGTTCTTGCCCTGAATCAGAAGAATTTACCAAAAAAAGTGGAGAACAAGTCCAAAGACAGGAGCTATAAAAGAATGTAAACAGTAAGATCAGTTTTGATGGTTTTTTGTTTTGTGTTTTTAAGGAGTCTTTTTAGGGTAAGAAGATGGTACCGTACCTTCAGTGGATGAGGGGTTGAAAGTTTGCAAACCAATTTTAAATTTTCAAGATATTCGTTAAACACACCAACACCACTTTACTGGTCTCTCCTAGGTGCTGAGTATGTTGTATGTCTGTAGATTGAAAAGATCAAGTTTTCAATTCTTGATTGGTGAAGATAAAAAGGTTGATGGAGTTGATGGATTTTAATTTTTAAGATGAGATTGAAGTTTTCAAATTCAGATCACTTTGAAATGTCAAACAGCGGATGTCAGAACTTTATTTCAATCGGTTTTCGTTTCTTATTCAATCCGCAATCGATTTTTGAAATTTAGAAACCCTTTGTATTTTTAGTCTTGCTCTGTTTTCCTTTTAATAACTTTGCTCTTCTCCTTTTACACTTTCTTTAAACTTGAAGCGCTGGATTCTTTTCTTTTGTTTTCAACCGTTCTGTTGGAATTTTTCTTAAGTTTGATCTAGAGTTTTTGAAAAGAGAAAAAATAAACAAAAGGAGATCAACATTTGATCATCAGTTTCAGCATACAATCATTTCTTTGAAATAGAAAAAAAAACGATTTGAAGAGAGGTATGCGTCTGTGTACGAATGTTTAGGCTAAAAAGTACAGATACATATGTAGGATCTGTATGACGACCATCAAGACATATCTCAAGATTTAGCATACATACCACTCTAACCGTAAAGTGATGCACAGTTTTATTGGTTTGATCGAATCAGATCTAAAATCACTATCATTTTCAAAAAATTCCTCTAAGACTTACCAGGATTTGATCTTTAAAATTAAGGAGCAAAAGGAACTAGCTTGGATTGATATGATCTGGATATGGATCGAGTTCAAATTGTTGAGTTTAAGTTGTTGATGTTGGATGGGCTATGGTCAAAGTTGAAGTTATGATCGTAGTTCAAGTTGTAGTTGAGAACAAGCTGATGAAGGATTGATCAAATGGTTTAAAGTTAAGTCAGAGGTTTTAAAAAATGGTCGATCGCTTTAAAAGAGAAGATATGATAAAGTGAGGAGTGGAAAGTTAGAGTTGATAGTTGATCGATTGGGTTTTTTTGAGAGTTTGATTGTTGATCGGAAATGGTAATGACTTTAATGACTAAGCAGCGAGAAAACAAATGGCTTGAATATGTTTAATTTTTTTTTTGAAAAGTTTCCCAAATTGGTTTGATCCAATTGGATATTTGAAGATGATGAGAGAGTGTGAGGGCGAGTTTTGGAAAATACTCACTCAACAATGAAATGGCTGAAGAATTCCTTGATTAGTTGAAGTTGATTAAGATAATTTTCAGAGATCAGATGGCTTCTTTAAAATTTCTCAAAAATGAAAGGACAAATGATCTCAATGATGAGTTATATTCGATCATCAACCTTTTTTGATGGTCTTGAAGTCTTTCCAAATCCAAAGCTCAGATTTAAAGGAATATAATGAGCCTCGTAGAACAAGTTGATTTGAACTCGAAGAGATCTAGCTGAAAAACCAATCCTCTTCTTGGTTAATATCGATCGAGAACGTAAAAGGTGAAGCTTAAAAGAATACCAACGAATTCGATCGGTAAAAGGTCCAAGGAAGTGATTTTGTTTGAGTGATTTAGTTCTATCGATTTAATTCTAATCTCCTTCTCTCTTGGTAACTTCAATCCACTTCGGTCTCTATCAACTCATCCATTCACACACACCCTTTAGTCATTCTTGGTCATATAAACTCAGTTTTCATTCTTTTCTCACACTCGGGCCGTTTTCTGGATTTTGTCTTCTTTCATGCTATCTTCAATTCTTTTGACGTAGAGCCAATCAAGTGTCTGAACTCATGTTTTCTCATTTGATTTTTGATGTTTTATTTCAATAATTGGTCTGGAATAGTATTAGATAGAAAGATAGACGGATGGATTTCAAATCGACTTTGATTTCACTTCCTGCTTCTGCGCCATGTCATGACTGAATCAGGTCTTGGCTGACAAACCATTGAGATAGATTGAGATGTGGTCATAAATCAATGAACAGTCATTCTGATTTTTTGCAAAAAAATTCAAGGTTCAGCTTACGAGATACTCTACAAGGGATTTCTTGCAAAGGCTGACCAAATTGACCAGGCTGAAATATCAAATCGCTCAAAAGAAATCGAATTTCAACGCAAGTGAGGGCAGGTACAAGTCGTTTTGAAATAAAAAAAACACGTATATCAGACCAGAAGTGTGTGTATCAGTTGTTGGACCAAAACCTCCAAGTCGTAGGCCTTGCAGTCATGTAGCTCTACAAACTGGGCCATTTTGGCAGTTGAATAATTTTGTGATACATTTATCATCTTCAAAGCATCTCGGCACTTGGAAGATTTAATTTCTGGGATGACAATTAAGCACCTAGTATGTATGTAGAGTTTGTGGTAAGCTGGATGCAGGGTTTTCTTATCGTAGTACCGTCTTTCCTTCAAAGCTTGTCCGAAAGGCTTTCAAGAGTTTAGAGTGGTATTTGTAAATCTAAACAAATTCTTAAGCAAATCTAAGCCACTAAAATGCCCGCCTCTGACTAAGTCTCTCGTGCAGGGGTTTAACATCCCAAGCAATGCCCGAGGCACAAGGCGGGCATTGCTTGCTATGTTAAACCTTTGCACGAGGGACTTGGTTAACTTAGAGTAAGCTGTGTCAAACCTGACCTGGCTAAAGACCCTGATTTGCCTCCCTGCCCGTCCCATGAAAGATCTAGATCAGGTCTACACCATGGGCCACCTTTCAGGCAAAAAGTGGTTGGCATGGGAGAGTTAAGAAAGAGCATCTCCACCATTGGCATGCAACCTTTTTGCAGCCTGTATGACAAATTTACGCGGAGGTTGACAAAACTGTGGCTGTGTAAATACTTTACAAGTGAAAACAATAAGATGACCAGTGAAGCCATGCAAGCAGATCTCCAAGCAAGACTTAGACAGTCCTCCAAATTCTGAGTGATAATCAAAAGATAGATTGGTTTTTCTATTCCAAAATGAGAGTGAGGTTGGATGGTGCAGCCCTTTTGGGGTGTATTTGGGTATTTGTGTGCCATCCACATTTGCACTCTCCTGGTCAAGTTCTGGATGGTGTGTAACCCATACAGGCTGTTTGCACAGTCCGGTGACTTTTATATTTGTTTGCTGTGTGACACAGAGTTGACAGGAAAGAAGGTGTATGCCTACTTTCCAAGAACCTTGTAAAATTTTGGCAAAATCAAGGCTTTGTGAATGCATGAAAGTCCAAATCATAAATTGCCCAAGCAGGCAATATGTGATATGAGAATGACCATGTGGTTGCTTTCTGTGTGATTGAGATGTGTTGTGCAAGGTGGTTGTTTGACAGGAAGACTTCATATGTCTGATATTGGTAGGTTAAGTTTGGTGGTTTGGTTGGTGTGGGCAATTTTTGGATTATACGCTGCTGGTCATTTATGGACAGTCAAGGTCTGATTTCACACCCTGTGTAAACCATACAGGTTTTTTGCAAGGTCCGGTGCCTTGGATTTATTCTCAGGGGTTTGCAAAACAACCTGTATTTAACTTTTTACAAGTTCCAGTGCTGATGCTCTTAGGTCTAGGCCAATTGGAGGCCTGACTGCCGCTCAGTAGCCAAGGGGTTGCCCTGCAAATTCCTTTGGTCTTAAGGCCCAGTTGTTGCCTAAACCAGGCCTGTAAAGGGGAGCATAAGTGTAACAGTCTTCACGGGAGACAATAGACGACCGAGAGACAACCAAGAGACTGAGTACCAAGTAGACACTGAGAGCGCGTTCACTTAGCCCGGTTTTCTAGAAATCGCTTTTTAAGGCACCACTTTTCTACACATAGAAAAGTGATTTTCGTGAAAAAATATGAAATTTCGTTTCCATGACAGAAAGAGAGAAAGAGGCCAGTAAACAGTGTTTGTTTTGAGGGTCATTAAGCACATCAAAGATGGTTGGTGGTACAAACAACCACCAACCATCATGTCTGATTCCTCCACTTCCACGAGGTCCTCAACTTCCTCTCGAAACCCTTTTGATCTTCTCCAATTTGTCCTTCAAGCTGGAAAGGACTTCCTCGCCTTGTTAAAGACCAAGAAGATACCCTGTCAAACTTCAAAACTCCGCGGAAATCAATATACGAAAGAAGTTCTTGAGGGGAGTGATGTACGGTTTCGAGAGATTTGTCGGATGGATAAGCTGGCTTTCAAGGGCTTGATGAAAGCCCTTGAAGGCAAGATTATCATCCACCGCAAGCGAAGTGTGACGGCCGAAGAGCGTGTCATGATCTTTCTCTACATCATTGGCAACTCCGGAACTAATCGAACAGCTGGAGAAAGATTCCAACGCTCCGGAGCTACCATCAGCAAATATTTTCAAGAGGTTCTTGATGCCATAGTATCTTTACGTTCCATCTATATTGTTCAACCCACTGCCAACGAAATATGCCCAAAACAGATTCAAAACAACCCTTGCATGTTTCCTTACTTCAAGAAATGTGTGGGTGCCATCGATGGCACCCACATCCCATGTGTTGTACCTCCTGATCGTCAACCGGCGCATTGGAATCAAAAAGGAGATCTCAGCCAAAACGTATTGGCTGGATGCTCCTTTAACATGCTATTCACGTTTGTCTACGCGGGTTTGGAAGGCTCTTACGCCGATGCTCGAGTGCTACATCAAGCACTCGAGGAAGATAGATTCATTGTACCAGAAGGTACGTTTGCTTTCTTACAATTACATTTCTTTGATGAATTTTCTAATATGTTTCCTTACCTCCAGATCGCTTCTATGTAGCTGATGCGGGGTATGCAAACGTTCCGGGATTTCTAAGAACTCTGGATTGACGCCATGGGCTGCAAAAGAACTCTATAACCATTGACATTCTTTGCTCCGAATTGTCATAGAGCGTATCTTTGGTGTTTCCAAAATGAGATTCCCTATCCTCGCAACAATGCCGTCATATTCATACAAGACTCAAGTCAAAGTGGTTGTTGCTTGTTGTGTATTACACAACTTAATTAAAATCGAGTCAGGAGAAGATGAGTTTTTCGAAGAATATGCTATCAAGGAACAATTAGAATCAAGACTGGCACGCGATGATGAGCCAGATTGGACTGAACCTACCATCCAACAACGTAATGAAGCCAATGAACAGCGTGACAGGCTTGCTCACCAGATGTTTGATGACTATATGAATGCACCTGCAGCTTGTCGACACGTTTAAAAGCTTTTATTGGATTGTAGCCTATTCCTATTGTTTCCATTTCATATTGATGTGTATCTCTTTGTGAATCTAACAATGTGTTTGTATTACTAATGTACCATTTAAAGCTATTACAACTTATTGCATTACAGATTGTACCATTTGAACCTATAAAACATGTTTTCTTTTGTATCAAAATATTTGTAATGGATAGAAAATGAGAGAAACAATTCGATAAAAAACAATTTCACTATTCATATCAAGAGAAACTATTTGACTATTCATAGTCTGCTAAAACCCCCGCCTCTTCTTTCAACCAGTTCCAGCAGTGATCTTCATGCATGTGACAGAAAAAGGAAGCCGTATCATCATCTTTGAGTTTACTGGCAACTTGGTTGATGTGACATGGCTTGAGCTCAGTTGCCATCTCTGAATTGAATATCTTCATAGCCTCTTCTTGTTTTGGATGTTGCTCTAGTTTAATCTTTGCTATGCTGATCTTATCACTTTTGTTCTTCTCTGCCAACTTGATGGCTCGATCCATTGAATTAGCTACAAGTTTCGGGCCCGTTGT